CGCAGCGAATACAATTCCTCATCCCAACCAGTGACAACCTGCCGGATATAAAATTACACATGTTCGATCCGTAGATGCAGCTCGGTTCGTTCAGCATGCTATGTGCATCTAAGTGGATCATCACATTTGACCGCCGACCTGTTCGGAACTAAGCATTCTACTGTAGTTTCCTTTTTGTGCGGAGATCTAACAGGCTATGAAAGATATGGGGAAATTGTGAATATGTCCTTTTACGGTAAATCGACGAGTAGGTTCACTGCCGATTGTGGTAAATTTGTTTTATCCATCGCATCAAGACCGAAAGAAGATCTTGCGTGGCGAGATGTTAATATTCCCCCTAATTTTCTCAACTGTTTATGTAAAACAAACAGACATACTACATACATTAGTAAATCCCTGTCAGCGAACGGGTACAGAAAGACAGGGGCGATTACGATAGAAATGAAGGTTGAACCACACCGCAAGTGAACTGATTGCGTCAATAACGTTGGGACACACAAAACTGGATGATGTAATCGAATTAATAAGGCCACAATAATTATCAACAGTTCTGCATTGCGGTTACATAATACGGATTTGAAAGAGGAAGTGGGATCAATTGTTTGGTTGGCATGAGGTATTTTGCTACAGATGATCCCGGGGTCTTTGTAACCATGTGACAATCGGACGTGAGTAGCGTCATCGACTTCATCAAACACTTCGGAATGCGTTCGCCTATTCGTTGTGAGGAATGTGACGATTGTTTCTGTTAATGTATTTTGCTGCTCAAATATTTTATTGATGCAATTAGTTCACTTACCTTGGAGTTGACCACTTGCTTTTAGTTTTAATAGTCCCTTTATTGTGAATGTTATAGTGTTAATAACACAATGATGTCGGTAAAGAATTATATTCACCGACGTTTCGGCTACCGTGGATAACCTTTCTCAAGGCAGGTTTTACAATCAAATGACTCAGAGGAAAGGATCACAAGTTAACGGATATTTCTTCGTTTGTGTGTGCGTGCGTGTGTGTGTGGTGGGCTGAATGATTTAGTAATCCATGTTCATCTGTACAGGTTCTTTCACTGAGTTTTACCAAGGTGTTTGGCTTGTTTTAGGTCAGCTATGGACGAAATTAAGCAAAATGTTAACTTAGTTATTGATGACCGTACAACTAACTGAACGAGAACGGTAGTAAATAGTTTTGTTGTGATCATGCACAATAGATTTCTTCTACTTTATCGGTGTCTTCATGACTCAGTACTCCAAATCCCGTAACTTCTATATATCGTCAGTAGAGTGGTTACAGGAGCGATTTTGTGGCTCACGCAGAGCACCTGTGCAATCGGCCTGTAATCTACCCCTATTAAGTTCTCCAAATTTTATCCTGATTTGTCTCAATTTATCGATTGATGGTTTCCAATCAATGAACAGGACCGATGATTTAAACACAGTTTAACCGTGTTTTAATTTATCTCTCACGCATGTGGATGTGGTGATTGCCAAGAAAGGCTTTATTGTGATTGTACGAACCACCGTTTCCTTTGTTCAGTTTGTCGTCGTCACTAAAAAAGGTAAAAAGATAAGCACTGGTAACACAAATGAAATGCTTGATGCCGGTTTCGGTGATTGCATTTTTCGCGGAAGAATCAACGGCTCATTTCCTCGTGGTTTAGTCGCTGGCCTTCACTCAACAGGGCTATTCAGATGGAACGTATAGAGCAAAGAAATACAAACCTGGCTTCGAGGTCGTTTCCTGTTACTTGTTCGGGAAACCGATTCAAAATTGAAATGAGACATTTTTTGTGTTCGTCCAGATTGGAAATTTGTAATTTTTCTTTACGCTTTTGTTGTGGCATCGAACTCAGTTTGCGAAACTCATTAAATCAGTTAGTCAGCTAGTCATCAATAACATGTCCAGTAATGATGAAACAGTGATAATTCGCTTCTGAAGTTCTCCATTTGTGCTATACATCAAGCTATACGACCTATCGACTATGATAAACAATAACATGTTTAAATAATCCAGTTAAGATTATTTTTTATTACACAACATTGTGAGTCAGTTCCACAGTCGCGAGAAACTACCGCTTGGTCATGGAACCCCGCAAATTGAGTGTGGTATTCAGATGGTTGCCTGCCATTATAGTGATGTGATGATGACTGGGTTCAACACTTGAACCTTAGGCCCGAGGTATGCCGAGAACAGCGACTTAAACTGCTAGAATTAGAGTAATAAATAGTACACCATTCGAAGAAGAGGGGTTGTATTTGATATTTCCCTGTAACAGAGAGAACGAGAAATAATGACTAGCTTGCGAACAAAATGCTCTAGAAACGCATGTCGGGTTTCACGGTTCTTGCCATTCATCATGCACACGTACGCAGTGCTCCCTTGTCTCGACATTCTTATATTTGTGCCCTCAATAACAATCAAGCCACACTATCTTCAGTTGCATCTCATGGAGTAATTTTGAGACGAGCCAGCTCCGAACAATGAAGATGATCTGTGATTCTAGGGAAGCAATTCTCGTGATTCATATGCCATTAATCATAAAGTCGTCAAAAATAGAGCTCAGTTTTGAACTTGCTGAGGTTAGATGCATCTGACTCACAAAATCTACCACTGATTATTTGTACTGATTCTTCGAAATTGGCTTGTCTCTTGAGTGGGTTGAAGCGACTCAGTTTTTCTTATATATGTATATACATGCTGCACAATCAAAGAATTCAATCTTAGCTGTCCTATTGATGAAGTAACAATCTCCAATTTATCGTTCAGCGCTTCATTAAGCCTCATCGGGCAGTTTTCGGATATTCGGAGACGTAACTGCGTATCTGTCCTGCCTGTGTTGATGGCTGGGTGAGCACCTATAGCCTTGGTCTGATAGTTTGATTGGGCTCAGGGTGGCAGCGGTTCTTTCACCGACACCGTTGGTATATGAGTGATGGTGGTGGTGGTGGTGGTGGTGGTGGTGGTGGTGGTGGTGGTGGTGGTGGTGGTGGTGGTGGTGGTGGTGGTGG